CAAAAAATTAGCAAAAATGGCCCGCGCCACCTATTAGCGCATAATAAAAACTACCCGCAAACAATGTGTTAATTTATAATCAGTAACCCAAGTACCATATGTATACACATCATCACTTTTTGGCAGCATCTCTGAGCAGCAGCTCATATAGCTGATTAATAAGCAGGGAGAAAAGCTGTCAGCATTTATATCTATACTAGAGGCCCGGTGCACGAATTTGTGCACAGGTGGGGTCCCTCTGGGTGGCCTGTAGGGATCAGGCTGAAACCCACAGTCCAGTACCGCCTGCAGCTCCTACCTGCCACTCCCGCTCATCCCGGTCCAACTGTGCCTGCTGTGGGCTCGTGCCCAATCAGTCCCAATCAGGAGAGGCTGGCACTGCTGCAGCAGCGCTCACCAGCCATGAGCCCTGCATCTGGCACCCACTCAAGGGGAGTGGCCTGTGGGATCGGGCCAGGGAGGGGCAGTGGGAGGGCTCCAGGGAGTGTCCAGCCTATCTCGCTCAGTCCCAATCAGCCTGACCCCAGCATCAAGCTAACCTACCGGTCAGAGCATCTGCCCCCTGGTGGTCAATGCACTTCATAGCAAGCTGTTGAGCAACCTTAGCATATCACTAGCATATTATGCTTTGATTGGTTGTTCCATTGTTCTGCAGTTCAGTCTATTTGAATATTACCCTTTTATTATATAGGATTCTTGAGTTTTGGTGCTTGAAATATGATGACCCAAAGCAAATTGCCTATTCATTGCATTTGAAAGGAAAATTCTGTCAGTCTAGCCTAATATTTCATAATTGATCATTGATAGTTTAAGATATTTTTCATTTATGTCACCAACTTTTGAAAGCCAGTTGCTTTTTTTGTTAATTTTAAGTATAGAAATTTTTATAGTTCATTAATTATCTGTGATAGTGATAAGCATCATAACATTGTGACCTTGAAACATCTTTGTTCCTAGGGTACATTTAATTGAGTACCAACTATAACTATATTTTGCACCTTGTTATATGTTCTTTGATATACATGTTGTCCTGGTTTTATGTACAGAATAAATCTATGGATGGTGTAGCAGAATACCAATGCTGCTTTTATAGTGCCTACTGTTTCCTTCAGAGCACTGAGCTACAGTTGCTGTACCATGAAGTCCTGAGCAAGACCTAAACCCTTGTTCGCTTTTTCGTAGAGCAGAGAGGAGCCTTCAGGGGAAGTAGAGGTGGCCGAGGTTGGGGAGCACGAGGAAATCGTAGTCGGGGAAGACTCTACTGAATAAGACATCTCGTTCTTCAGCATCGTCATGAGCTTAACATACTTAAATTCTACTACTCATTGGATTGCCGGGGATGTCCCTTAAAAGGACTGCTGCCTTCAGCTAAAAACTTATTGTTCTTTATACCTTTGTATGTATGATCTACTTTTGTAACAGACCATGGTTGTGTCCAAGGTAAAACCACAGCGATATTTTTGGATGCTTTGTGCGCAATCTTGTTTTTGCAATATCATCATTATTCACACTTCATATTGTGAATCTTTTAAACATCTTAATAATTTGTTGAGAGCTATTCAAATCTAAAATATAATGAAATTCTATTTCTGATAACTGGTAAAGATGATCAGTTTTGAAAGCTTACTGATTTTCTTCTCCCCTCTGTCCTTTTCCCCCAATATATAGAGAAGAGTAATGGTCAATTTTAACATTTGGTTTTCATTGGGTTTTTTTAATAAAGCTGCTAGGCAATGGTTCAGCATTCCTACCTAGTGTACTAAGAGCAAAATACTTAAATGTAGAAATATTACATTTTTAGGAGAATGTAAGCTGCTTTGCACTGCTTACTTAACTCTTCTCCATATGTTGTGATAAGCTTTTGAATATGGGATCTTACTATTTGAATAGAAATGTGTATGTATAATATACATACATACATAAGATATATATGTGTGTGTATATATATATACATATATATATGCATGCTGATGACACAACATAAATCATTTTTTAAAATTCCAGGAACAGGTAATCTTTGACATGGTGATTACCCTTTTGAGGCTGAATCCATTATTAACTTGTTATCTAGGTTTTCTTCCCAGTAGTGAGGGATTTTGAGTCCGTTGCTCTGATGTACATATAGGTTTCTACAGGATTACACAGAATAATTTAGAATTTGGGAATTGAATAACCAGGGCAATCCAGGAAAAGTGACTTGATAACATGTTCTACCAGTAATAAGGGATTCTCTCTGTTTGCTTTTGCCACTTTGAAGATTTAACTTCTCAGGTTATTAATCAAAATTATTGTATAAGTTAGCCAATAGAATATTTAGGTTAAAAAACAGATGGGGGGTTTGTGGAGTGTTTAATGTCATGGGCATTTTTAGTAGCATAGGTCCTTAGCTCTGCATTTGAATGTTTCATATATTTTTGTTTCACAGTTAATATTCCCTCCCCAAGTTTGCTACTCAAATCCAGTGTCTGAGTAACATTTTCTAGTAGTTTGGCATATTTTTTGAGGAATAGTTAGTAATTCCAATGGCAGTGTCTTCAATACTGTTAACCCTTACATTGGGGAAAAAACAAAACCCCTTTGTTAGAAATACTGCACATGTTTATGGGATAAATATTTTTTGAAGACTAGAATTATACAAGTGAACATAAGAAATTGGTCAGCTTGATTATGGAGTGGTGGCAATAATCTAAACATTCCAAAAGACAATGAGCTGAACCTAAGCTCCCTTGGAATCTGAACAGACATAGGAATATGGAATTGCTATTTGAAAACTGTGACCAGGTGGCCGAAAGCCATTTCAAGTATAGGAACTGTATTAGGACTACAATTATATAAATCTGAACTTTAGGGGTAACTTTTCCTCTCTTTTTTAAAGAGTATTGTAAACTCAAAGCTGAGCAGAATTGACTCTACTTTAAGTTTGATATTGAGTTGACTGTGTTTCTTCCTTTGCCACCTCATTGTTCCCCTTCCCTTCACCAAGGCAATAATGCACAACTTAGGTTACTTTTGCTTCAAAAATTTGAATGAAAAACTTCATGTCATGATTGTTTTTCTTTTGCAAGACATCTGTTTATCACATTGTTCAAAAGTAAGTGTTTCCTTATGCTTTTGAAATAAATTTCCTTTTGTAATTTTGTTTTGTGTCTTGATGTGTTATGATTATGATAACTTCAGATTCTTGGATATTCATTAAACATTTATTGATTGCTTTTCATGTGCCAAGCAGTGTATCTTACCATGAAAATACAAAGATAGACAAGCTACTGCTCTGCCTTCAAGAAGTTCAGTCTTGCAAGTTATCTTTAATTTTCATTCTTTTGGATTTATTTTTAGAAGCTAACTCACTCTTCTGTAAAAAGGGATTTGGCTCTAATCAAAGCAAAACATCAGATACTTGCCAAATCATGAAATATTTCCATCCTCAAGTTAATATGCAAAAACAAGTTGGAACTTCTTAATTTGACTACCAGCCTTGATAAAAAAAACAAAAAATAAAAAGTCTTCCTGCCGTAACGGGTTTGGCTCAGTGGATAGAGCCTGGGCCTGCAGACTGAAAGGTCCCAGGTTCGATTCCGGTCAAGGGCATGTGCCTTGGTTGCGGGCACATCCCCAGTAGGGGGTGTGCAGGAGGCAGCTGATCGATGTTTCTCTCTCATCGGTGTTTCTATCCCTCTCCCTTCCTCTCTGTAAAAAATCAATAAAATATATTTAAAAAAATAAAAGTCTTTCTGAAGTAGTATCAAAGGCTAGAAATGTTCTAAAGCAGGGGTGGGCAAACTTTTTGACTCGAGGGCCACAATGGGTTCTTAAACTGAACCGGAGGGCCGGAACAAAAGCATGGATGGACTGTTTGTGTGTGCACATATAAATTCAAAGTAAACATCATTACATAAAAGGGTACGGTCTTTTTTTTTTTTTTTTTTTTTTTGTTTTTTTTCTTTCAATGAGCCTACAGTGTCTCCCTGAATCTCATTGATTCCAGGAGATGTGGGGATTGGGTCCTCAGAGGGCTTAGAGGTGCTCCTGGTTCCCCTGTGTCTGCCATGACTCCCCCTGCTGCCCCTA